CTCCCCTATCTCCCTCCTTTGTGTGCTAGTGCAGTAAAAAATATACGTCCTATGGGAAGATTCACGTTTGACGTTTGACACATAACCACTGTAACAAAAAAACAAAAGAACTAAAGCCATTTTTGTTAAAAAAAATATCGCAGTAGTACTTTAAAAGAACAGTTTTGAAACTGCAACTCCACACTGTGAAAAAAAGTAGGTAGGTTTACAGGAAAATTTTCCTTGACGCAAGTTGTAAAATTACAATTTGCAATCGTAAAAAAATACATGCAGTATGTATCGACTTCAAATCCCTTGGCGAGTAAAAAATGTGCTGTCGTAAATTTACAACTTAAATTATAATTCGAGTTTACAAAATTTTTGTAAATTTACGACGATTTTTTTTCACAGTGCAGAGACTTTTATCCTGCAATTTAAGGTAAAATTTTAAAGTTTTATAAAGTTTTGTTTAGTATTGACAGTATGATTGATACCGTTGCCAAGCTGTTGTTGTTTTTTTTACAGTGATAATGTAGTGGATTACAGTTGCGGTACACATTGCTGGCAGTGTACACCGCGCCCGCCTGGCACGCCTTTCAACGCCCCAATTAACAACATAATAGGCGCACGCACGCGCGCTGGCCAGCGACACACAACGGCCTTCCTTCATCAATCATGACACGTTCCGAGGGGGGGAGAGAGAGAGGGAGAGAGAGAGAGAGAGAGAGAGGGAGAGAGAGAGAGAGAAGGGGTTCGGAACACCACTCTATCGTAAGGCAGGCATCGATCACTGAGGCCTCGTACGGCTTCCTCGGTGGCGGCGGTGGCGGGGCGGGGCAGTTCCGGTGGGATGCTTGATGTTTCCTTTCCTTGTTGTTGTTTTTTATTATTATTATTTTTCTTTTCCCCCCCGCCTGAAGAAGAGCGTACAGAGTACAAAGGCCGTACTACGTCACGTACTGACGTGCCTGCAATGTACTCACAGCCCGCGTTATTTGATTTATCATCACGGCTGCACACCGATGCGGCTGTATATTGCGGCTGAAATATTCCGCAAACGCATGCAAAGTTAAAAAGGTTTCCGAAAAAACTGATGATTAAAAAAATGAAATATTTCTCATAAAAATTTGGGAAAAAATGAGACCTTTCAGAAAAAAAACTGGGATGATCGGAGAAAAAAATTCTGAGGGTTTGTTAAATTTTGGAATTTTTTCCCAAAAGATACTTTTTTGAGAGTGAAAATCCCTATTTCATGCTCCTTCCTCCATGCTCCTTACTATCGGCGTACACAGACACAGTGGCTCCGGCCCTACACGCCGTG